GACGGAGCGGCCCGCCGGGGAGGGCGGTTGTTGCCGCTCCTTGACCCGACCCGCTGAGGTGCGCGGTCGTAAGCGCGGATAGCGGTCCGGAAAGAACTGCTTTGTGTTGTAACGCCGTGAGTGGCAAAGTCTAAAGTCGCTTCTTGTTTTTCTGAGGTTGCCCGGCGGGCGGGGACGTGGTGGGTTTAGCCCCCTCGCCTTCCTGACCCCTGGGCAGTTAACTTGAGTATGCCAGAGCTGAGTTTACTGCCATCCTTGATGTTGATAAAAGTTTAGCGTTAGGGCGTGAGGGAGAAATGGGAGGGTATTTCCTGATTTGTCCTAAAAAACAGGAGAGCCATGTCATAGGAGTTGAACCTCTGGAGCTTATAGCATGGTGAAGTGATGTTCTCCTGTTCTTCAGTGCTTAGCTGATGAAAGCATTTGTGCATTTTTCCAAATAAACAGTTAACTTAAACTATTGAGCATTATATATGAAATAGTTAACTTTTTTTTTTGGATGATTGCTTATCAACGTTAAGAGAAAAACCCTGGTTTGATTTACACCACTGTTCATCATTGTTACAGGTACCCAAAACACAAAAGCCTTGGGACAAATATTAATATCAAAGTCTCCACTTTCTTGATCTGATACACGTCTATATGTAATTTGTCTTCTATAGGCCATGCAGGAAAAGTGACACAGTAACCTCTTCCATGCTAGATTTTTGAATGTAGGATAATACCCCTACTGAGTGAAGTTTCTTAGTAACAGATGAGATGGAGATTGTCATAGACTGGAGTGCTGCATCTGTATTTAAAAAAACAAAAAAAAACCCCAAAAACTAAATGCTGTGGGAAAGTACATGTATTTTATGGACACAAACTTTTATCAATGGATTCTCTTCTGAGACAGAATTTTATTCATTACCTAATTGCTAGAGGTTTCCTTTTCAAATTAAGCAATACAGTTACTTCATTAGTCCTTCTCTGTTTGTTTGCCTCTAAACAGGGGCTGGTAAAATCTGTGTGGGATTATGTCTGTCCTGTTCCCATTAGATAGTAAAGTATCGAGGATAACTTATTTTGTTATTATTATAAATCCTTAATAATAAACTGCGATCTGTGTGGGTTTTTTTATTTTTTGATTACTGTAAACTTGAGAATGATGTTCCTGTTCAGATCACTGCTTCCAAGTTCCCCATGAGAAATGCAATGAAATGCTCTTATAATTGTAAATGCCAGATTATTTTACCAGAAATACTATAATAAAACAGTAAGCGTAATTGGTGTGGGCGCGCATAATGTGTCTTGCTTATTTATTTTGCTGCTCATGTAGTTGGTAGACCTCAAAGCAGAACTCTTCCGAAAGCAAGAAGAATTCAAGAAAGAAAAGCTACTGAAAGATGCTGGCATCTCTGCAAAGCCCAAAACCTCTAATAAGGTAGAAATATTTTTCCATTGTTGTTTTTTTGTCATTCTTTCTCCTTAAACTAAGAAAGATTCAAATCATTTAAAAAAAAAAAAAGTTTCCAGTGTTGTGTTTCTTTCCAAATGTAAAATCTTTGTGATGAGGATGTTCTTTAAATTTCTGTCAACTACTTTCCAGATGAGATTTTAGTGCATAGCTGAAAACTCATCTCATGCTTATGCCCATCTAAATCATCTCTTAATCTCCGTTCCCCAGGGAGCCACAGCTTTTGTAACTGAAAGGAAAGATATTTCTTTTTCCTTATGCTCTCCCTTGAAGGATAAGAGGCTCTCCCAGAATCAGTGAACCTCCTTGACAAATATTCTGCTATCTATTCCTTTGTATTGTGGTGAATGATGATGAACACGCAATTCTCTCTCGCATTCTATTCTTTATTGCGTTTTGTCTTCTATTCATTCTGTAGCTCTCCAGTAGAAGAATATAATATCCCTGCCATATTTGAAGAACATGCAGCTATTTACAGTGCTATGATGTAAACAGGCAAACTGGTTGTATGTTAGACTTGAAACCGAGAATAATAGAGAATATAAACTATTCATAGCTTCGTTATTACTTTCATAATGGGAAAGATGATTGTTAGTAATTTTTTTTTTTGCTTTTCAGCTTGTAATGCAATGTATGCAATTGTAGCACGTACCTACTGCATTCTACTGCACGGTAGAAACAGTCTCAAATCGAACATGCTTAAGATGTTATTTACCAGTCTTTCATGATTTATTTTCAAAGTTTGCAATATGCCAATTGAAATCTTTTTTTTTTTAAATCATTATTATTTTACATTTTGTTGTTGTTATAAAATTGTATCCCACAGAAACCAAGTATTTGGAACAAACAAAACGTAGGAGTTGCAAATCGATCTGAGAAAGATGTTGAGCAGAAGACAGAAGAGGACCAAACACTGGAAAAATCAAGGTAATTCTTAGGCTGTGTAAGAAATGAAGGCTTTGCAGAATATGTTTTTTAACGTTTAGAAAAGATCATAAAGTGAATTACATATGTATTGGGTCAGCAGTCCTCATTAGATCAACAGATCAGAATTGGCATCAGTTCTGTGATCTTTACCAGTAATGTGCAAATTGCATCCCAGCAGTCTCAGCCTTATATTATCATAACTATCTAAATATGTCAGGTAACTTATTTTTGAAAGCCATCTTTGGAAGTAAAAGCTGAGGCACAGGTAGCCACCTCAGAATGTAGAGAGTTTCCTGGATTGACAAACAAACAAAGATGAGCCGTTTTCTGTTTGTTTGTTTTTGGCACGGTAAATAGGATTTGACTCAGCCTCTAACTGGGTTGGTTGTACAACAAAATATACATTGAAAATATAATTTATAATATTTGCTGATTGTAAGCAGTTCCTACTTCTACCGCTCCAGAAGCTAGCTAAGGTTTTCTTCAGTTTCTAAGAACAAGCCGAACTGTCTTATATCTTTCGGGATTTTTTTGACTGTAAAGCAGTGTTTTAATATCTCATATCTGCAAATAGTGGTCTAGCCTCCGTTATTTAGCTGACGGATCAGAGTAGTCATATAGAGGTAGAACATTTGTGACTTCATGTTCCTGCCTACTTGACAAATTGCACTGAAGATGAAGTCGGTAGCTTCATTAAAAATATTTTTCTGTATCAGCTCTGGAACTGGATATCTGTGTGTCTTCAGAAATAACAGTTAAAGTTCAAAATCATAGCTCAGCTTCTCTTAAATGTTTCCAGCACTCCCAGTACTTTCCTGTTACGTTTATCCAAGGATAAATTAGTCATTTTGAACTGTTTGGGACTGGTGAGATTACCAATTCTTTTTCTCTGTCTCAGGAAGAAACTAGAAGAGAAAGCAAAGCTATATGAGAAAATGACAAAAGGCGACTTTCCAGGTGAACAAAACTACTCTATAATGGGAGGGGGCTTATTGTGTTGTGGGTTTTTTTTTTTTTTTTAATAAATTTGCTTCTGAAGTTCACTTTAAAAGTTAGCCTTCCTGACCATCTGGAAGCTGGTAACTGCTACGTTATGAATTTACTGCTTGTTTTTATGGGAATAGCTCTGTATCTTAGAGGGCTGGTTCTAGCTGGTTTTGCAGTCACATCCTCGGCAATGTCTCTCGAGCTCATTTACAATTCAGTCCTGCAGGCCTGAAGCCTGCAGTCAGGCTTCATCTGCTTTAGGCACTAGTACTAAGTTGGGCTAGAGCTACATTAGCTCCCTTTTCAAACGTTGTCTCCTTATAAGAAGGAAGGTTGTTGTGTAGGGTTTCTTTTTTTTTGTTTTTTGGCGTATTACGCAAAGTGATTGGCATGGGTTATTTCCCTATGGAAGGGAGCAAAAATATAAGTACTAGGAAACAAAAAGCATTACTTTCTGAAAAGCGGTCGGCCCTAGTAAAGCACCATAGGCTTGTTTCCGTCAGTCACTAAGAGGGTGAAATATATTCTGTTTTTTCAGTACAGAACCTTAGAAAGAACAAAACTATTTTATCCTTCATCATGTAGTCTTTGGATTTGACTGCTGGTTTTCTGTGCTTTCTTCTAATTCTTGGACCTTTATGAGAAGAAGAGGAACAGGAGGGGAGCCTGGCTGGCCTGTGTGTGAATGCAGCTAATAGGGTTAAAGTCTAATTTGTCCCTTTCTTCTTGCACAAATTCAGTCCCTTGCGTGAAGTAATTACTAAAATACAAGTCAGACTTCCTTTTGCAATTAACTTCTAGTGTTTTCTTTACTCGTGTCTATCTTTGCCATATATCACCCTACCACTTTTCCCTCCTTTGGAGAAAAGAATTCTAGTGAGTGCCTAGTTGCTGTCAACATATCAAATATTAAGCATTAAATGAGTATTTTAACTATTAAGTTAAGTAACAAACCATATACTTCTGAAATAGTTAACGAGCAGAGAATATTGGAGCACAAAGACTGCAACCATTTCCGTATTGTACACGAATGATTAATTGCTTTAAAAAACCCTGAAACTTCTATTTAGAGATAGAGGTTATCACTGTGGAGTCTGTTTATAGTTCCAAGTGTATTTGGCACAAAATGAGATTAAAGTATTCTCCAGTAGTATGGTCAAGGGCATTGCTGGCAACTGAAGAGCTGATTTCGGCTATCTGATATTGATTTTATGTTCGGTTCTGTTCTTTTTGTGCTTATTCTCTAAAAATTGATTTTCTGCTGTAGATGAAGAAACTGAGGATTTGTACCTTGTGGATTTCACTCAGAAGATCATAGACAGACAGCGAGAAGTACAGGAACTGTATCAGAGTGAAGCTGCTAGAAAGACTTTAGAAAAAGAGACAGATGATGAGGAAACTCAACCTGAAATGGAAATACCACCACCCCAGGATCCAGACGAAGAATGGTTGGTACTACTGAGTGCGCTCAGCTGTCCTGACTGATTTGTTTCTTGATAATTGCAGGAGAAAATAATCTTATTTCCCAAAGTATGTGGAGTAGGAATATTTTTGGTTAATGCTACATGTTAGGAAGAGGTGGCAACGTCCTTTTATTTCATGTTTCTTTAAACGACGTTCCTTTGCATTACTTCCCTTTCCGTATGGGTAAAATTGCAGTAGAACTTACACCCAGGATTTTTAGAAATATCAACCAGGGAAATGTACCGTAAGTGAGACCCATTGGAATATTCTCTCTTTATTTTCTTGTAGAGTTCATGGTAGGTCTGCTCTTAGCATCGATACAGTTTTATATGCTTTAGTGTCTTGCCTTGAAATGTACTTTAGCAAAATATGGGGGTTTTACTGCATCTATCTTCCCTTGTCTAACTGCATGTGACTTCCAAAATGAGCAGTTGTTTTTGTTGTACGATCCCCTTTTAAAAGAGAGACCCTCCAACTGGAGAGAGAACGTGATTTCCAGATTTTCTTCCACAATTTAACTGCAGCACTGCAATACCTTGTGTGAATTTTCTCTGACGTTCCAGGTAGCTACTAGTTTTTCCTCAAAGAACTAATTGAAACCAGTCTGGACTAAACATCTTCCTTGCTAATTTGTGAAAAATGCTTATGCAACAGGGATAATCAGTTTTAAAAAAAAAAAAAAAACCAACAACCAGTATGAAAAACAGCACTATGGTTCTCCAATTTATTAGACCAAGATAAGATTTGCAATCAATTTTTCAGAATAAGTTGGGCGAGTGAATCCAGGTTCCCCAAAAACCGCTACACTGGAAAGGCAGATACACCTATTACTAGTATCTAATTGAAATCCAAGGTGAAACTATAAAGCAGTGATCTAGCTAGGGGCTCAAACTGCTTTATGCTTTCATCACAGTTAAGTGTTTGGAAATTTAAACTAATATGTTTTATCAATCACATGGTGCTTTTCTATCCTTGCCTACCTCTCACTTCAATGACGTGTAAAGGATAAAACTAACTACAGTATGAGAATCCCTATGGAATTAAATCTTTTTTTTTTTTAATATTAATTTATTGCCAAGCTCAGTGAGGCTTTACCCTAATGAGGATATTTGGGTGCTAACATAATTGTTGCTAATTATTCTGCAGCCATATTTATATCTTTAGTATAGAGATTGCAGGCAGTGTTTTTTTTCTGCTGGTGTTAGGTTATGATAAAAAAAAGAAGGGTTCTAATATTAAGCTGTGAGTATCCTGAAAAATTAGTAAAAGACCTAACTTACTAGAAGCGGAGATCTTTAAAAGTTTGTGTTTTGGGAGCTAGATTGCCAGTCGTACTTTTTCACCCGTGATATGAATTCTTTAAGATGGGATAATTGAAGCAGCTTGATGCTAAAGAACTCTCTCTAACGTTATTGGACAATAAGTATGGTTTTTTATCTGCTCTTTGACAACTGTAAATTAAGTGTTTAGTACTATGAAGAGTTGCATAAGAAGCATGGTACGTGCTTCAAAGGAACATTTTGCTGGAATTTTTGTCAGCCTTTGTTATGCCAGTTGAATGAACCCTTTCAGCCTATTGTAAATGAGCTTTAGACTGATAATTGAAATATGTTGTAGCAATTTAGTATTTGCAAGAAGTCAATGCTGCGTCATTATTTTCACCATGGGAAGCAAGCGTTAGGCGAAGTTTTATTTTGGTATGGAAGCTACATGACATTATAACTCTTAAACATTTTTTACGGCATCTTACTACCAAGACAAATGGTTGGCTGAAAGTGAGATTGAATAAAATAAACGTCTGTGATAAATCTGTCATATACCCTATTCAAAATGCCTCTTTTTAACTGGAGTCTGTAATTGAAAGGTAGAAGAAACTGTCACACACGAAGAGGCTGAGATGCGATGAATACTCTTTGGAAAGTGTCACTGTTTTTTGTCTTCTGGTTAAGGGTTCTATAAATCGGCAAGCGTAAGTTCTCTGTGAAACTTCCCATGCTTTCGTTACAGGGTTGATTATGTGGATTCGTTAGGCCGATCTAGACGCTGTATGAAGAAGGATTTGCCAAGTCTGCTTAAAATGGACCAGGAACTTCAAGGGAAAAGGTGTGGTTGCTTCAACAGAAGTGCATGTTCCTTGCTTTACTCAGCATGCATATCTCTAATGTGAGGGAAAAGAGGCTCTGCTGTATTATCGCGCTCTCTGTCCAGACCTGTTGAAGCTATTGCTTTCTCTAGATTTACTTTAGACAGCCTTCTGCTGGTTACTTCAGTATGCCTTAAAAGTAAAAGGAGTAGCTACAGTGAAATTGTGCGTGACAGTGGTTTTATCAAAAACTCTCTATTAGAGATTCATGTAGTATTCCAAGGCTTTTATTTTATTTCACCTTGGCAGCTGACCATTTGAAATAAATAGCTGGCATATTGGTTTTAAATTGCAACAGATTGAAGGCCTTGGACATCAAATAAAATCCCAAATTAAATTTTTAATAAACTACTGAAGCACACTTTTTTCATAAAAATGCTGACTAAATCTAAAACCTTACTTGCAGAGTTTAGCTTGACCAGAGAAATGTTAATAAATTGACTTAGCAGTCTGTCAGGTATCCGATGCATCTTTTGAAACTGTGGTCTTTGTAGAGAAATTGTGTCTTATTATACCTTTCAAAAAACACCAGAAGAGTGATTCCTGATTCTGAATAAACAGGTTATAGGTTTTTAACAGATCCAAATTCATGATGACATTCAAAGTGAATTTATTAGATCTCCATTTGTTTTTGTAATTACAGCTCTTCTGTTAAAATTACTACGATAGCACTGGGAATTCTTGTCAGGAAAGACTCTAAAGGCACCTTAACTGAGCCCTTACCGTTGCCAAAATGAAAATTCTTTCACACTGAAAATCCGTTAGTGTGTTCTGTGTATTTTAAGAATAAGATAGAGAATAAAGGTGTTTTGAAATTGTGGTGTCTGCATGAACATGGATGACAGTGTGCCAGCAAAACCTGCTTTAGCTAGACTGTAAGAGAAGAGGAGGATGCTACTTCCCTTGTGAAAACAAAACTGTTTCCCATATTGGGTATTTACATCTGGCCTGGGCATTTAGAGTAAACTAATAATAAAAAAATTTTTTTATTTCAAATATTTTTCACTTTCATATGTTACATTTAAAATGTTTCTGTATGCAGTTGCTAGCTTCCGAGCAGATGCTGATAAAAGTGAATACTTATCTCCCATTCTGTGTTTTCATAATGGATTTCATAAAACCTCTGAAAATGATAGTTTTGTTCTTTAAAGAGGGTTTTTTTTTAACAACATATTTTACTAGTACCTTGTTTCAGAGGCAGTATTGTGCTTCTGTCTTTGCTTTGAACCATACTTGTTAGTGTTGCATCACCAACTAGTGCCTAGAACAGTATGCGTTTTTGTAAACGCTGCAATAGTGGATTAGACCCCGTCATACTTTCATCATTTGATACCAAAGAACCTGCAAGTTCTGGTCTGTAATCCTTTTCTTTTTTTTTTTTCCTCCTCCCCTCCTTATTTTGATTTAGACAAGGTCCTGATGGGAAGACTCTGTTATCTGAAGACATGAGAAGAGAGCTTCAGAGGCAGCAGTGGGAAAAAGAGGAAGAAGAAGCCCTCAGAAAACCCATGGGACCCATACATTATGAAGACATTAGAGACAATGGTATATTTCCATACTTTACATCACTTATCTTCACAAAGAGGTTTTATAGGAAGCAAGGGAATAGTTTCTTTTGTTGTTGTCTTTTTTTTTTTTTTTCCTTGTGCCTATATGACAAACTCTAGGTACATGTTAAGCCACGTTTGTAATAACCTTTTGAGTTACCAGTACGTTAATCTAGAGGGATTCTTTTCCTCAAATTGTATTGTTCTCAAATGTATTTTTCAGTTTTCATTCCTTCCTCCTGCTTTCTCCTTCAGGACACTTCACTTCATGCATCATCTAAAGCTATCCTGTGTGGTGTGTGTCGTTTGGAGTAATTCAGTGTGTGAAAGCAGGGTGCATGATGCTTGTAGTTGCTGTAGATTGTAAACTGAGTGTAACACTTTATTGACTCTTTTCAGAGGCCAGACAGCTTGGTGTTGGTTACTTTGCCTTTTCTCGTGATCAAGAACTTAGACATAAACAAAGGGCAACACTGGATATGCTAAGAGAGCAGGTATGAGTTTAAAAAGCAAATTGACATACGAAGGCATCAAGTTGCAGTTACCAGTGTCTTTAGCTTGTTGTGTGAGTATTGTGCTCAGCGATTCCTGCAGTTGACCGCAAAAGAGGGGGGACCTCTCTTCCCCTGTTGAAACATGGTGCCTGATAATGACTGCTTTTAGTTGTTTATTGAAGGAAGATATGCAATTGATTATAATAACACAGGAAGGTTAATTCATGTTTTTCTTTACTGTTAAGACACTTGATCAGAGAACTAAACGTGAACAATTAAAAGAAAAAAGGAAGGCAGCTCTAGAAGCAAGACTATCTAAACTTAGAGCACGGAAGGCGAAGAGGTTAAAGGAAGATGGATTAGAGGAAGAGGGAGACCAGCTGGAGAGCGGAGGTATGATATGTTGTCGTCTTTAAGTAAAATATTTGCTCTCTCAGCTTACGCCTGAGGGGATGGTCACACTCTACTTGGTTTAGATTTGGACACTTCAATATATTGGAATTATGTATTCTATAAATGCAATTAGTATGACTATTGAAATAGTAAGAGTTCTTATAACGGGGTGTAGGTATAAAATCATGCCAGAAGTAGCTTAATAATGCAGGAAGAAATATGTGATGTGTCATGTATGGATTTTAGTTCTTTTTGAATTCCTGTCTGACAGTAGGAATTATGCAGATTAATTATGCAGGTTGAAGTTAAGCTGCTGCCGTTTTAGTGGGGGTTTTTTGTTTGTTAGTTTTTTAAGATGAGCTGAGATAGAAAATAGTAACAAATTTTGATATAATCTAATACACAGTCTTACAGCTGTAGAGCAGTCTCTTAAGTTACGCTTTCATAAAACTTAAAATAAAGGTAGGTGGCGATTAAGGACCAAATGGTGTGTTTAGATTGTTGCGTGTACCCTTTAGAGGGAAGAATTTTGCTATTAATACTATAACTTGGCATAGTTACACAAAAAGACCCTATTTTGTGATGTGACTTCCTTGTGAGTACTCTAAAAGATGTAGCATATACAAATGGGCATATCCCAGAGCTTGCTTATATCAGTGTACAAAAATATTCTTCAAGTGTAAGAGTCCATGGCTAAATGAAATAATGCCCTGTTTACTGCAGAAATAACTTGAGCGTAGATAAGTCAGTTTAACTTAGGTGTGGCCTTTCCTACTCTTTTTATACGTGATCCTTTCAAGGCCTGCTAACTGAAGTTCACTGCTACTTCCCTGAAGTCCTGTCAACGCACATAAATG